TGCTCCCAATGCAGGTGGACTGATGAAGCTACCTCAGCTCTGGGCCCCTCTGCCCATCCTTAAGGCCTGCAAACTCCTCCTCATCTCAGCTCGGGTGGCCCCTCCTCTAAGAAACTGTCCCTGCCCTGGCCGGTTTGGCTCAGCGGTTAGAGTGTTGGCCTGCGGTCCAGAGAGACCCGGGTTCGGTTCCTGCTAAGGGCATGTACCTTGGTTGCAGTTTGTCCCCGGCCCTGGTTGGGTCGTGTGGGGGGGGCAACCACTCGATGTGTCCCTTTCATGTCGGTGTTTCTCTCTCTCTCTCCCTCCCATTCTATCTGAACAAAATATCAAAAAAAAAAAGTCCTCGGGTGAGAATAAAAAAAAGAAACTGTCCCTGCTTGCATCAGGGTCTTCTGGACCCACAGCTCCTGTGCTTCCTTGGGTCCCGCTTGTCCCTGGGAACTGACCACTGCACAGCGGCTTCCTGGAGAGGGCAGGATCTAAGCAGAGTTCACAATAAGGGAGGTTTGTAGCACAAAGGGGAGAAAAGGGGACACTAGGTGGAGGAGCAACACAGGGAAAGTCTGGTGGCGGGGAGGCTGAGCAGGGCCTCTTGCAGGGTCAAGGGTGTCCCCAGGCTCCAGCCAGAATGTCAAGCCTCGTATAGCTTCAGTCTGGTGGAGGAGTAGGGGGGTCTGGTGCCAACAGGATCCTTCCTGCCCTCTGGGGGCTCAGGGGCAGCCCCCAAGCATCGCACTAGCTGGGCTGTTTCCTTAAACTAACAAACCCCAAACAACCAGACAAACCCCAGGCACTGGGACTGGAGGTGGGCCAACGGGGTTCGTTCTGGGACTTCCCATTTTCCAAGGCTTGAAAAGCCCAGAGAAATGTGGGACCAACTAATCTCTGGCCCCCTCACCACCCTCCAGCACAGCCTTCTGCACTTAGCTTTTGACCAGTGCTCACAGATTTACTGTTTCTTGCTGTGCAGGCATCAAACAGGTTGAATTGAGAGATCTGAGCTGCCACCACCACACTATGGCCCTGGGCAAGTCATTGCACTTCTCTGAGCCTCAGAGAAGCCCTAAATTTTAATGAAATTAATAGAGAAGGTAAGCAGATGCAGGACAAAAAGGAAGTCTGTCACTGAAGCAGCTGCCAGAGGGAGAGGCTAGGAAAGGGGGTGCCAGAGAGAGGCCTGGGAGGTAGAGACAAGATGGGCCAGCACCTGCCCGTGTCCATGCACCATTCAGTGGCTGAAGTGGGGCTCAGCAGGAGCCCTCCAAGAATCAATCATGCCATAATTAGGGTCATTAGTAATCTCTTTTCACGGAGGTGACAGAGCCTCCTGTTTACACACTTCTGTCCCGAGAGACCTCTGATCGTCTTCCTCGGGAGCAGGCCAGGCTGACAGCATCACAGGGCAGGCTCGCTTCACCCCAGTCATGAATTCTCACGTTCTCTTGCCCCTCCTGGCTGTCCTCCTGTAGAAAGTGCTCCCTGCTTGTCCCTGGGAACTGTGGCCTCTGCTACCACCTGTCCCATATCTAAGGCTCTTTAGTTCATTCAGTAAATGTTTAAGAAGCCTCCAGAGTGAGGCAGGCACTAGTAGGAGCCAAGAGAGATTCACAGAGACTCAGACATGGACCTTCCTTTTGGGGACACCTCTTTACCAACAGCACGATTATAACTACATGGCTAGTGCTTGCTGTTTAGAGTCTCCCGTGATTTCATGTGATTTCACGGACGCAGCTCACCAAGTCTGCAGGAAGGTGCCAGAGCCCCGTTTTATGAATGAGGAGGCAAGGCTGGTGCAGGTCAGGACATATCTGAGACACACCCTCAGTTAAGGCCCTCAGGGGCTAGAACCACATGTTTGGGACAGTTTGGGGCAGGCTGGACAGGAGCCAGGCTCAGGACCCTGCCCTGGGGCCTCGGGTTCTCCTGGCACAGAAAGAACCTCTCTTCCCCAGGTCAGGGCTATGAGCCTGGGCTGCGCAGTCACCAGGCGTGATCTGGCCTTGCCCACAGAGCACAGCTTAGTGTCTCGAACTCAAAAGTTCTAGCTGCAAACGGTCTCAACCAGAGTCTTAGAATCACCTCACCCAAGACTCATATAATCATGGAATCCTGGTGTGATCCAACGGAACTATCCCTGGATTTCAGATGATAAAATCATCAAATGTCAGCGCCAGGAAAGCCCTGCAGCCACAGCATCCAGCCTGGCTTTCCGCAGAAATCCCCAGCGGAGCGCCTGCTCGGGCTTGCACCCTCCGGTGGCTCCCTCCTCACGGCGGCCTGCAGGAGAGCCCTCCCCACCACCCCTCAAAAACCTGGCACTGACTGGCTCTTCCTGGACAAATGTCCCAGGGCCTCAGGCTGGGCCTCAAGGGCCAGACCAGGGGCCTGGTGAAGGGGAAGATTTTCACATCCTCTCACCCGGGACTGACACCTCAGCCGCTCCCAGGAGCCCAGTGATTCTGCCATGGGGCCAGGCTGACTTTTCCCAGGGCCTCTCCTGGGTGGGGGCCACCTGAATGAGGAGGAGAAGGAACTGGGAGTCTGGCAGAGACTTGCACTGAGCAAACTTGTCTCAGACTAGTTTTTGTGCCCTGAGGGAATGGAGAGCAATGATTTATTTTATTTATTTATGTGAAATAGTGGGGTTATTACACTAACAGTCTTCCTAAGCAGGCCCTGGGGTGGGAAGAGAAGCAAGTCCCACCATTTAAGGGTCTTTCTCTAGCTCCCTTCCACTCACACCTGTCTGCCTCCCCTCGCCTCGCCCCTCCTTCCACTGCACTGTTCCAAGCACACCACACTACCCACCTTCCCACAGCCTTGCCTTTGCTCGTGCCCATGCCGGGCCCTCTGCCAGGAAACCCTCCCCGCCACCCCAATCCACATCCCATCCATCCTAACCAGTGGACCCTGCCCAAAGCTCAGTCTGACCGCCCCGCCCCCCAGAAGCCCACTGCTTCTCCCTTTGTGCTCACACGTCTGGCACAGCTCTTGAGACGTGATCACAGGCCTCTGTGCACAGTAATTATCTGCTTCCGTGGCGGCCTTGCCCAGCGGGCTGAGCCTCCCCAGATGCAGACTTCTGATCCACTCAGCCAAGCTCTTGCGAAGAACCACACTGTCTGTGGCCCTGCACTGCACCAGGAGAGGGGGATGGGGGTACCCCAAGCCCCGTCCCTGCTGAGGAGCCACTGTGTCCCTGCACTATGCAGACACCGAGGAAGTGCCCATGTATCTGTTGGTCAGAAAAGCTGGTTAAATGTGCTAATGGAGGAAAGAAGGAACCAAGCAGACCTCTTAAACCACACCCCTTCAGAGCCCCTCTGAGCTGGATCCCCGTTCTGCCTCTGCCTTTCCCTATTTACAGAAAAATCAAGTTACTTTAAAAAGTCACAATTGAGCCCTGGTCAGTTTGGCTCAGCGGTTAGAGCGACAATCCATGGTCCAGAGAGACCTGGGTTTGTTCCCGCTAAGGGCACGTGCCTCGGTTGCAGTTTGTCCCTGGCCCCGGTTGGGGTTGTGTGTGTGGCAACTAGTCGATGTGTCCCTTTCACATCAATGTTTCTCTCTCTCTCCCTCCTGCTCTATCTGAAAATAAATGCAAAAATGTCCTCGGGTGAAGATTTAAAAAAAAAGTCACAATTGAGCCCGGCTGGTGTGACTCAGTGGTTGAGCATCAACCCATGCTCTAAGAGGTCACTGGTTCGATTCCCGGTCAGGGCACATGTCCAGGTTGTGGGCCTGATCCCCAGAGGGGGCATGCAGGAGGCAGCCAATCGATGTTCTCTCTCATCAATATTTCTCTCTCTCCCTCCCCCTTCCTCTCTCTCTAAAAACCAATAAAGAAAAAAAATTTTTTTTTTAAATCACAATTGAGTATTTTCTTCCACAAGTTGTTCTTAAACCTCTGCTATCTGTGTGCACGACTTCTGTCCCTGGGCTAGCACACAGTGACCTCAGACTCCTCTCGTCAGCATGGAGTTCTGTGAGAGTAGCAGCCCCTCTACCTCCAGGCAAGTCTGAGAACATGGGGTCTGAACTTTTCGATCTCTTTCAAATCTCCTGGTTTCCCTTCAGCAATCAAAGAATCCCAGCCTTGCTTGAATGCTGAGGAAGAAAAGTCCCAGGAGCTGATGGCCAGCACACCTTCGAGGTTCATGCCAATCCCACGATTCGAGGCCTCCAATTCCGTTATTTGCGATTCATTCCTTTGGCTAAAGCATCCCTCTCGAGGATTCTCTCTTAAAACACACATCTCCCCTGGAAGTGGGAGCCCATGACACCTACCCAAGTTGGAGGGTACGGGAACTCAGTTTAGTACTTGGCTCTAGAGAAGCAGTAAATGACAGGGGTTGGGGATGTGCACGGAGAGCCAGGCTGCCAGGTTTGAAACCCAGCTCTACCACTTACAAACTGAGCACATTCCTTAACACCTCCGAACCCCAGTCTCCTTATTTATAATGTGGGGATAAAAATAGTGCCGACCTCATGGGCTGCTGTGAGGATTAAATGAGCTTATACACGTAAGGTGCTTAGATAAGTCCAGATACACTAAAGTAAACAAGTGCAGCAGGTATTTTTCTTGCTTGTAAAATGGAACAATAATCCCTGTTTGCCCTGCCTTTTGTTTTTTGTAAACTGTAGAGTGCTGCCCCCACATAAGAGGCAGACATTGTTTTAGAACCCAGTGGGCTGCTCTTTGTAGCTTGTCTCTTAACTCTTTTCTCCCCACCTCTTTTCTCTCTTTCTTTTTTTTTTTGGTTTATCCTCATCAGAGGATATTTTTCCATTGATTTCTTTAGAGAGAGTGGAGGGAAGGGGAGAGAAACATGGAAGTGCGAGGGACACATCAACTGGTTGCCTCCTGCGGGGCCAGGGAAACCTGCAACCCAGGCACATGCCCTTGACCTGGAATCGAACCTGTGACCCTTGGGTCCGTGGGCCTCTGTTCTAACCACTGAGCAAAACATCCAGGGCTTTCTCCTTTCTTTTTTCTTTACCTGGAAGAAGGTACCAGTGGCTGTGAGCTGGGCTCCCAGGGGCGGCCTGTCAGGGAGGTGGTGATGTCACTTCACTGGGAGAGCTGTGGGGACAAGGAGACAAGGCCAGTCAGATCACTCATCAGTTCACCTGTGTTGTCCCCTCCCACCTGACCCTTAGTGAGCCCCTACCCTGTGCCCACCTTGTGGTGGGAGGTCCGGGGGGGGGGGGTCACATCTAGTCCCTGCCCTGGAGAAGTCACTAAGCTGGTAGGAGACACACACGATCCAGTTGTGGGCCATGAGATCCCTCACGTGCAGTCCCCCCTCCACACCTGCTGTCCACAAACCTGCCCTAACCCCAAACCCAGTGTAACCTGCTCCCCGAACCATTCTTCCTCCCCTAACCCAGGACCCACAGAAACATGATCCAAAGCTCAGCCACCCTGGGACGAAACCGGGAGCTGTGCCCACTCCTGTGGGGCAGAGGCCCTTTCGTGCTGCCCGGGGACCTGTTTCCCCAGAGGTAACCACCAAACCAGCTGTTCTAAAGCAGCCACAGAGGAAGGGCTGGAGCCTGGAGGCGGGATCTGGGGCACTGAAATTACGTGGCTTACTTCTGACTCATGCACCACCTCCCCCATCACCAGCTCCCACAGCCTGAGGAGCGGCCCTCCTGCCCAGAGACTGGGAGGAGAGATGGTGCCAACGGGCCATGGGGAGGGAGAGGAGAGGGGAGGGGCTTCTGGGTCAGGCTGCCCACTTCAGAGGATGCTGCCACACTGCCCTTCGAGGACATAGGCTGGCAGGGCCAGGGGCCTGCCTCGGTCACACAAAGCGTCAGAGGCAGAGCCAGGGCTAGAAGCCAGGTTTCCTGGTGCCCTGTAGAACCCAGAGCAATGGTGGCTCAGGCCTGCTGGCCAGCACAAGCCCATGCCAACATGAGAACTCTCCCAACCTGATTGTGCCCTGGAGCCACACACCAGCAGAAACACACAGCTAAGACTCAGCCTTGGATGGGAAGAGGGCAGAGCTGGGTTCAGAGACAGCTTGGAAGTGACATCTGGTTACCGAGAGACAGATTCCTGGGGCACCCCCAGCCCTGCCTCCCTCCACCTCCAGCCCCTGTGTTTCTCACACTGCCCTTTACAGTTTACAAAACACCCTCTCTCCTTCATCTCCCACAGTGATCCTAAGACCTAGGTGACAGAGGGAAGATAAAGAGAGCAGGGCTTCTCAGACTTCAACGTGCAAACAAATCCCCTGGACACCTTGTTCAAATGCAGGTTGACACGGTAGGTCTAGGCCGGGGTCTGAGAGTCTACGTTTCTGACAAGCTCCTGGGTGATGCGGATGCTACAGGTGCAGGGACCACATTTTGAGTAGCAAGACTACAGCTGTTAACGGTATGGGTGCTAAGGTCAAACTGCGTAAGTTAGAATCTTGGCTCTTACAGTGTGGCCTTAGGCAGGTTACTAATCTGTGTGTCTCAATCTCTTTATGCATAAAACAATAATAATACATACCTGTAGGGTTGATGCTTGAGGATTAAGTTATGTAAAATCCCCTGGCTGGTTTGGCTCAGTGGTTACAGTGTTGGCTCTTGGACCAAAGGGTCGGGGGTTTGATTCCCAGTCAAGAGCACATACCTGGTCCTGGCCGGTTTGGCTCAGCGGTTAGAGCATCGGCCTGCAGTCTGGAGAGACCTGGGTTCAGTTTCCGCTAAGGGCATGTACCTTGGTTGCAGTTTGTCCCCAGCCCTGGTTGGTTGTGCAGGTGGCAGCCACTCGATGTGTCCCTTCACGTCGATGTTTCTCTCTCTCTCTCTCTGTTCCTCTCCCTCCTTCCCACTCTACCTGAATGGAGAATGGAAAAATGTCCTCGGGTGAGGATGATTAAAAAAAAAAAAAAAAAAGAGCACATACCTGGGTCTCAGGTTCAATCCCAGGACCTAGTCAGGGCATGCTCAGGAGGCAACCAATCCCAATCAAGGTGTCCTTCTCACATCAATGTTTTTTTCTCTCTCTTTCCCCCTCCCTTCCACTTTCTCTAAAATTCAATAGAAAAATATCCCCATATGAGGATTAACCAAAAAAAAAAAAAAATTATGTAAAATGACTTAAGTAACTGTTATTTCAAAATTAAAAAAATATATATATGTCTTCATTGATTTTAGAGAGAGAGGAAAGGAGAGAGATATAGAAACATCGATGAGAGAGAACAGAACATCGATTGGCCGCCTCCTGCATGCCCCCCACAGGGGATCAGGCCCACAACCTGGGCGTGTGCCCTGACCGGGAATCGAACTGGCGACCTCTTGGTGCCTCCTGGGTCAATGCTCAACCACTGAGCCACACCGGCCGGGCTATGTTAACTTTTAAATGGAGCCTCTGAGAGGTGGACACACTCAGCAAGGTAGCAGAGTCAGAATTCAAACCCAGTCCTCTTAATGTAAATCCTGCAATACCAAGCTGCCACAAATGTCACACGGCAAACCCGCCCCCACACACCCATTAGACAGACATGATACTGAGGCCCAGAGATGGGCAGAGAGCGACAAAGTCACCAAAAGTTGGTGTCAGAAATCCAAGTCCAAGCCTAGGGCTGTTCCTATCACACTTTACTGTCCTGTAAGGAAGATAAAGTGTCACGAATTCATCTAAGTCGTCCCAGCTCTGCTGTCAGCCCTCACCTGGGCAGTAGCTACCGGAAACCAGACGTGGGAATAGCTGGATGTGGAGGCCACGCCCACAGCAGCCCTTGTTCCCTGCTCTCTTAGAGCCCTGCCCTCCAAGCCGTGAGAACAGTTCAGCATCCTCCCTCCATCTCCATCTCCTACCTCCAGTCTATGGCACTGCTCAGTCTCAGAGTCACCCAGCTGGGGTCGCAGGTGGAGGGTGGCACAGCCTGGGACTGCCTCCACCCCCACCTTGGTTTCCCAGCACGAGGCCAGTGGGAACCTGTGAGTCACTTGAAGGAAGTGCTCAGCCCCAAACAGGAAGTGGCTCTTCAAACAGAAATCCCCTGTAGGATCTCCCCAGGGCCCGGCAGAGGGTGGCCTGGGTAGCAGAGTATGATGAAGGGAAGCTGATGGAGGCACAGTCAGATTTTACCTGAAACTCCAATGCAGCATCTATCCTCACTCTGTGGAACCTCGCCAGGGGAACTTCTCTGCTGTGTGATCTTAGGGATATCAGCACCCTTCTCTGAACCTCAGTTCCCTCATCTGTCAGATCCTGGTGCTGCACTACAAGACTGCTATGGCCTGGCATTCTACAATGAGATGAAGAACTGGAGGAAGTGAATAGGGGTTTTAAATAAATGAACAAATGCATATATGAATGAAATGAGTGAGTGAATGCAGACACCTAGATTTAAACTCTAACTGCCAGGAGAGGCTCTGGCCATCCTTGACCCTAAACTGGAATAAGTGGGTTGAAAATTCATTATTTGATTTGTTTTTAGTCATCTTTCTTAGATGTATGTATAGCTCACATTTATTTCAATGTTTAATATTAGAAATATTTTGGGTCCCTATTTATAAGTTTGGGGATGTTTCTGTGACCAGAAATATGTGGTAGGAACTTAATTCTTGTTTATACCAATTAGCCTAAGGTAAAACTGGCTTTCATATATGTCATTTCACTTAAAGTGGCAGTTTCCAAGAGCCTATAAACAGCATTAAGTGAGGACTTACCCTATCCATTTCCCAGTAATGCTGAGCATCCTTTTACTTTTGGGGGGAGAGGGCTTTTCTCTCTATTCCAACTTGTGGTTCTAAAAGTACTCATGGATCAGCGTGGTTATTCACAGAAAATGCACATGGTGGCTGAGGGACATCTCATGGTACAGTTGTCCCTCCTTATCTGTGGTTTGAGTTATCTATGGTCAACCATGGCCCAAAATTATTAAATAGAAAATTCCAGAAATAAACAATTCATAAGTTTTAAACTGCACTCCATTCTGAGTGGTATGATGAAATGCCACACACACCCCCCCATCTGGCCCTGGACATCAATCATCCCTGTGTCCACAATGTATACGCGCCCTACCCTTAGTCACTCAGCAGCCATCTGGTTATTGATTGACTGTGGTATCACAGTGCTTGGGTTCAAGTAGCCCTCATTTTACTTAATAATGGCCTCAAAGTACAAGAGTAGTGATGCCGGAAATTCAAATATGCCAAAGAGAAGCCATAATGTGCTTCCTTTAAGTGAAAGGGTGAAAGTTTTCAATTTAATAAGAAAAATAAAATTATGCTACTTCGTGCTAGTATGCCAAGAGACAAACTACATTCACATAACTGTTATAATTGCTCTATTTTATCACTGGTTACTTTCATTAATCTCTTACCATGACTAATTTATAAATTAAACTTTATCATAGGTACGTATGTATAAGAAAAAAACATAGTTTATATGGCTGACCCTTGAACAACACAGGTTTTGAAAAAAATCTCGTAAGTATAAACGAACCCATACAGTTCAAATCTGTGTTGTTCAAGCGTCAGCTGTATTTTCGATCCGCAGCTGGGAATTTGTGTGTGCGGAGGGCCGGCTCAAGTTATACACGGATGTTTCATTGCGCAGGGGTCAGTGCCCCTGATCCTCAAGTTGTTCAGGCTCCATTGTGTAGGGTGTGGTGCTATCCATGGTTCAGGCATCCACGGGGAGGCTTGGAATGGACTCCCTGTGGATCAGGGGGACTGCTGTATTTAGCAACTCATATTACTCAAATCAATGTAACATGAAGTATAACACTAATTCTTTACATTGGCAACTAGATGAACATTAAACACAAGAACTGTCAATCGTTTCATATTTATAGAATCTTCAAAAACTTGAATATTTAATCTCTATTTAAATAATTTAATTTTGTCCAGCCGGTGTGGCTCACTGGTTGAGCATTGACCTATGCACCAAGAGGTCACTGATTTGATTCCCGGTCAGGGCACACGCCCAGGTTGTGGCCCCGATCCCTAGTGGGGGGCACGCAGGAGGTGGGCAGTTGATGTTCTCTCTCATCGATGTTCCTATCTCTCTCCCCCTCTCCCTTCCTTTCTCTTTAAAATCAATAAAGAAAAAATAAATAATTTTATTTTAAA